GAACCGTGCCCCACCCCTTCCCCCGAAATTCTTTTTCGTCATGGTATACAGAGCGAAAATGACCATTTCAAAAAAGGTGCCCCTTCCCCCCTGCCTCCCGAAAAACAAATTTCTGACTAGGCCGCGGTAGCATTCGCTGCCATTGCTTCTTTGTTATAATTCACACGCACTCACGGACCACCACTTTTTTTTTAGCTCCTAGCCATGTACAGCATCATTGTAAAAAGAATATTAAAAAAAATAAAACCATTTTCGCGCCAGAAACTCTATCAGGCTGTCACAACGAGTTCCCTCTCGAGGCTATAGGCGCGTGATACGCTGTGGTTTGAGTTCAAATCCCCGGGGAAATCGGAACTTTCCCAAGCATCAGTGATGGATGGTTCGTGTGGTGCAACGCGTTCCTATAGGGCCGAAAACCGAGAGGTCAGGAATACCGCCCGTCCATACGAGTATGACCGATGACAAGACTGTTTCCCAATGAAGCCTATATATATATATATATATATATATATATATATATATATATATATATATATATATTTGAGTCCGTAGTCGAAATTGCCTTTTATCTTTTTTTTTTTTACATACAGGGGTGGATACCTCATCGGCGCCGTTTCGCCACAAGTTCTTACCACGGGGTTGATTGCCGACCCGGAGGGCACGGGATCGAATGCCGGCCACGACGGCTGCCATTGTACGCTCGAGGGCCACGTGATTTGTAGATAAGGGTGTACACCAGATGGAAACTACCGAAGCCCACCACAACGCCGCCCCTCATAATCATATCGTGGTTTTGGGATGCTATAGACTCCAACAATCATATATACTGATTGCAAGTCTGCGCGCCACGTCGACGATGACGATTCGGATAAACATTCCTCATTGAACGATGACTTTATTTGAGTGGAATGCATAACATGCGGTGAAATTCCCCAAGCGAAACCGCCGTAGCGTATACGAAGGACTTGACAGTGAGGCCGAATCACACGTAACGGCAAACACGCACTTTGCACTGCCGTATACACCTTTTCACAGGAAGAAAAAAAAAACACCGCCATGATGGGCTGTGCGCGGGAGTACAAAGGCCAAGGGCGCAGCGTTGTCAGTGCATTTTCGAGGGGACGCGCCAATATGCAAAGCCCAAGGAGGGCTCTGGCGGCGCCCAGGGAGGCGTTTATGAAAAGGTGAATAGAAGTACAAGACGGGATAGTAACAATAGCCAACACCCAACGCAATGCGTCATTAGCCGCACAGCGTCGGCATTGCGCGTCCTTTCGTGTCCGTCTAGAGCGTCTGTCTTGTCAATTCCTCATCACGTTCCTGCTGTTTTTCCGCTGATATTGTTTACAGCGTGCATGTCTGTCTGTACAGTGACGTTCCGTACGAATTGCAACACGCTGTCCGTACTCAAAATGGCGTCGAGACTGCAAGGTGGCACCTACGTCAAAAAAAAAAAATTGTTGACAAACTCTCTTAATTATCGGTACTTTCTGAACCAATTTAACATTTGTCGGTTACACTGTTCACACTTGGGGTTACTTCAACCACAGCCAGTGTGCTGCAACTCCCATTGGGCGCGACCCTCTCTCTCTCTCTCTCTCTCTCCTCTCTCTCTCTCTCTCTCTCTCTCTCTCTCTGTGTGTGTGTGTGTGTGTGTGTGTGGTGTGTGTGTGCGTGTGTGCGTGTGTGCGTGCGCGCGCGTGTGTGTGTGTGCGTGTGTCTGTGTGTCTGTGTGGCTTCGTTCGTCCACCTGTGTATTGTATCCATTCATACGTCTTAAAAGCTGCCGCACCTGAAGCTGGCCAGCTTTTAACAGCTGGCCACACCTGAAGGCAGCGCTAACATATCAAGAATGCGTTCGGTCGGATTCGCAGCAGCTGGAACTGCATTTTTACGCCGTCACGAAACGGAAAAGAAAAACAAGCAAAAAGCCAAAGCAAAGAAACAGCGGAAAGAAAGAATGAAACGTGACAGGACCATCGGGTGACAGTCGGGACAGGAAACTCCGAAAGATCCCGCAAAAACAGCGAAACACGCAAAGAATTGACTCGGTGCGCGAAACACTCACAATTGGAGACCGAGCCCCGATGCTTCGAACGTTACATGTGCACCGCCGGCAGTCACAGGCTTGCCAATAGGTACAAAAGAGAGATAGGGGGCGAGAAAGAAACAATAGTAAAAGAACGAGAATGAGAAATGAGAAACCCCTGACTTGTCGGTGAAATGAGCGAACACGAAGATCACGTGCGCATGCATAAATTAGTGTTGTCCTTTGTTTCTTTTTTTTTTGTTACTTTTTATCGCATTGCAAGACTCTCTATCCTAAATCTTTGCTCCCAGTGCATACTGGACATTCATCCACGTGTTTAAACGATTCATACGAGTTCACACCCGGGCAATAATGGAATAAGGTAACGTAAAGTTACGCGTCGCCTAAACAAAAGATCAGATTGTCGCTTCGGAAACGGCTAGTCGTCGACAAGTCGAAAACCGAGAGCGCATGCAGTTACTGGGAAACGGCGAGTACAAATTCGCACTGCGCCGGAGGCAACTTCGGATGAGGGCCTCATTTCTCCAATACGCTCGCCGCGGCAGAGCTTTTTTCGCGTGCGACGCCGCCACCGAAATATGCGAGTTCAAGGAGGATGATCAAACAAACAGCACGGAAACTGGAGCAGCCACACACTAATGGCGCCAAGAGTGAGCAAGTATAGCGGGACTCGTGGCGCGTGCCCTCCTCCTCTTGTACATTACCCTTTCCCTCCCATAGCTAAAGCACACTATAGAAAACTATGTTAGCTCTCACTATTTTCTGTATCAATTATGTGTCCATTTATTTCTATACTTTTCTCTCTGTGTCTATGTCTTTGTCTTTCCCTTTTCTCTCTCACTTCCCTTTATTTTTCTCTTTCCCTATCGCTCTTCCACATCAGAATACACATCAGAATCATTGCATTCATACTACTACACTACTACTGAACTGTTGCATTCCTCTCACGCCGGGCAAATCGGCATAGCGTGCGCAGGCATTTCATTGCCCTTGAGGGGAGGGGAGGGGCAAGGTTTGTGGCAGCGACCCTCCCTCTCTTACGTCAATGTACGGCGCCTACTTTGCCCCCCCCCCCGCCCCCTCACGAGTCACACCAGCCTCTCCCGTATTATGTCAATGTATGACACTGACTTTGGGCCCCCCTTCTAGGTGTACAAGGGGGGGGCGGCCCTTAGCCACCCCCTTCCCCGTGCGCACGCTTATGCAAATCGGCAGGATTCTGATGTTAGTTTTTTTCCGGCGTTGGAAAGCACGGGCGTGCTATACCGCAAATATCCCAAGAAGAGTGCTCTGTACAGCTGAAGCATAGATGACACTGATGTGCCCCGCGTTTTACCAGCGAGAAATCTCATCGCGTGTGTGATAGAGCTGAACTTCTTCTTCAAGTTCGAGATGTGAGCACTCCACGAGAGCCCTCCTGAGATACTTGTCAGCAACTTCATTGAGGGATCGCCTGTGAAACTCGGCATTGTGTGTGTGATGTGACATGTGTCTATCCTTCTCTCTCTCTTTTACTCCCCCTCCCCATGTGTAGGGTAGCAAACTGGATGCATAGTCTAGTTAACCTCCCTACCTTTCCTACATTCCTTCTCTCTCTCTCTCTATGCAAATCGGCGCACGTGTTCTGGAAGCGAAGCAGAAGAACAGAACACAAAGAGCGCGTAACGATTGACGATCACTATAGTTTTCTGGTGTTACCACACGGCATAACGGAAAGCTTAACAGCTACACTAAAAAAGAAGAAAGGAAAACTGAGTCAAGGTCATCTATCGATGACTGCGCGTCGAGAAGGAGGCGTGCGTGTTGCTTTCGTTTCCGCAGCGAATCGCGCTGCACCGCGGAGAAGCGACACGCGAAGCGCCGGTATGATTCCAGAACACTGGCGACGTTCGCATCCACGACCAAAAAAAAGAAAAAAAAAAGTCGTCGATATCGAAATATTGCAAAAGTGTACGAGTTTTTCGGTTCCTCAAAGCTCGACCCCGTAAGGGAGTGGTCTCGCGGTTCGAGCCAAGGATTCATTCCTTTCGGGATCGCAATCGATCGGGGAGAAAACTGTGCGCACGTTCCGCGGAAAAACCGAGGCCGAGACCGCCGCCAAAGGGCGAACAAAACTGAGACCGCGCGGTCCGTTAAGTAACCCTTACGTCATAGACGACAACGCCTCAAGAACAAAGAGGTTCAAATACAATCTTGTCTAGGATAACCGCGGCGCTAATGTCGACCTAGACGCCCAGTGTAAATAGTGCGAAGTTAAACAACGGAGAGACGAGCCTTACAAGCATTTCTCTACATAGGCGACGCTAAGTATCGAATACGTTGTTGGTTCGATCGATTCCGTCACGCTGCGGATATCGCACGTGGCACCTTTCAGTGCAACTTCCTGTCCCCCAAGATCTGCCAAATCGAGCACAGAAGGATGGCAGACCGCAATGCAGCGCCTTGACACGTATTGTTCGCCGCACTAGACGATTCCACCACCGAAGCATGCGTAGTTTACCTCAGCACGTGCGGTACAATCAATCACTCATCAGAACATCAACGTAGTAGTAGGTTACGAAGAGGGATCGGATTTAACACCTGTGTTATACCAGAGATAGTGTAAATAATACGATGTAGGGTTTTACACGACAAAACCGTGACATCATAAAGAAGCACGGCGTAGTGAGGAGCACCGAGATTTAGACCAACCAGTGTTTTTTTTTTTTTTACGTGCACTGACATTGCAAATTACACGGGCCTCTGGTATTTCGTCTCTGTTGTAATACGACCACCGCGACCGGCATCGAACCCACCACCTTTGCATAGATGGTGTTTCTCACGTGCAAAAGAAAGTGTATTCATCGAGCTAAGCGTAGAGAGCCTGCAGATATAAACCTCATGGGTGATGACTGCGACGCTTTTATGGAACGAACGGAAAAAAAAAAACAGGTTGCATTTCTTTTCGTACCTCGGGTTCGGCATCATCCTTGGCGTCGTGAAACGTCTCGCCTTCCTTGGATGCCATCGCCGACGCTTCGCCGCGGAGAACTACGCGACGGTGGGCGCGCGACGATGAATGGCAGGCCGTCTTCGACGTCGGAAGAATCGCCTCGACGTGTTCTTTCGCGCGGGTAAAACACCCGCGTGCGTGATCTCGAGCCAGCTGTCGCCGCGCGCCGTCACCGACGACGCCGCTAGCGCAGCCGGAGTTGGCGGAAGAATGGGGCAGCGGCCGTCGCGTACTTGTCGCCGCTGGCGAGCCAAGCTTGCCGAGCCATCGTCGATCACATGAGCCTGCCGTTACAGTCCGGCACTGGGGAAATCGTGATGTGCGCGCACGCAAGGCATAGGCGCGACTGCTGACCGCCGTCGACGGCGCTGGCGTGCGGTCACCAACGCCGCGAGCGCCGTGCTGCCATGTGCAACGACCACAGCGCGGATGCTCCCGGTTTAACGGCGGTGCACCGTTTCCTAGCGGTGTGTTACTACTAGCGCCATCTTGTGCGGCTGGAAAGATTCAGAAACGAGGCTTCTATTGAACGCGAGCTAGCCAGAAGACTGAAGGAAGCGCGCGGGATAACGACTCAGAAACCACGTTTAGTGGGGGGGCGGATCGTGACTGCGTTGGCGCGCCGGCGCCGGAGGCAAGAAAGAGGATGAACGATGTCTTCTGACATACCTGATCTCAGCGCGCGCACTGCAGACGACGGCAACATGAAGGATACGCAAGGACCAGCGCTGTGGTTTTCTGGTCGGTTAGTAGATACTGAATTTTAGTTTAGTTTACGCAAGGCTGTACGTCCGCAACGTGCTTGCCCACGCTGCGTTTAAGGCTGCGTCGTACGGCATTAGTTTAACGTGCGCAACATCTGAAACAGTGTTGCTTCAAGCCATCTCGTGTAGAGGCAAGAAGTTGTAATAACCAATATAAGTCGACTCAACACACAAGTCGGGGCATGAGACAAGGCGATCTTTTCGGACCACGATTTGCGGTTCGGGATGTTGAGGCTATAGGTGAACAAGCAGCATGAGGGCAGAGACGGCGAAGACGATCACTTACTGCCAGTTGAACATTTATTGTTTGCTACAGACGTTTTCTAAGATCACGAGACAAAACAAAGAAAAAATAAAAAAGAACCAAACTGGTGATGCTCAACGCTAAGTACAGAAATGCCCCCATTTGGCTGCGGCGGCGTCTTGACGTGTCATTCTTCACGTCGTTATAGCTGCTTTCACAATGATTAGGGCGCCGTGTGCGAGAGAAATCATCTGAGCTTCGTAGAACACGGACGTGCATTCGCGTGCACGCTTAATGCTTGACCAGAACTAACCTTTACTTTCTAACACTTGGAATGCTCTTGCAGGCGATCATTCAGATATTTTCCGGTCAGACACACGCAGCAACCACCACAGTTCAAAGGGATCACACACAAGACGCCCCGTACACAACCCACAAATCCGTCGCGCTGCTTCACGTCACCATCAGGGTTCCCGCTTCGTCGTTAATGACGTTGCCCAATCGTCCAATGTTGCACTCCAGCTTAGCAGCGGATCCCAATCCACTGCACGGTGTTCACCTATTGGCTTCAGGTTCACTTATTTAAGTTCCAAATGCACCGAAATGCACACAGACTTCATTCGCTGCCACGACCATCGTAATAGTGTTGTCGGTCGCAGCCACCTTGTCTCTTTTGGTCTCGGCTGTTCGAGATCTCGCGAGAGCCGCCTGTAAGGTAGGCAAAGGCCGTAGCGGCCGCAACGTAAGCGCCGAGATCTGGTGTGCGCCTCCCCTGCGTGCGCAAACGCACGCACCTCTGTTAGGTTCAGCGCATGCGCACTCTTTCTTGCTCCCTCTCGCGCGTTGCGCACGCTAGGCCGTTGCGCGAGCTAAACTAAAACCCTATCGTGTGCGCATATCAGTGGCGTAGACAGGGTATGGCACACCGAGCACGTCCCCCACCCCACCGCCACCCGAATTTTCTTTTTCACCATGGCATACATAGTGCAAGATGAACATTTGCCTCCCCTCCCACCAACACCACCAGAAAAAACTTTCTGCCGCGATGCCCCTGGCGCATTTAAAACAAGAATAAATTGTAACCAACTCTAAACGCCAGCATTCATCAGCCTCACTAAAGTCTACTAAAACATGGTGCAGCGAGATACTGCACCAATGCGCCTCCGCCGCTATGGGCCAGTTAGGATAATGTGCCTTTTGATGGAATTGTACGAGAAATTCCCGTGAAAAAAAGAGAAAAAAAGAAGGTTGAATTCGATCCGCACATTTTACAGAAAGAGAGAGGAACCAAAGGCGTAGGCGTGCGTAAGGCAGGGGGTGGCACACCGGGCACGTCTCCCCCCCCCCCCTCCCCTTCAAGATTTTTTTTTTTTTTTGCCATGGCATAGAGAGCGAAAGATGACCACTTCAAGAGGGTGCCTCTCTCCAAATCGAGAAGGTGCCCCACCCCCCTTTCAAAAAACATTTCTGGCTACGCGCCTGGCTTAGGGGCCCTCATTAGGAAGGGTGGATGCCCACCAATATCCCCCCCTCTCCCCACGTTGTTTCTCGATAAAGGTATCAGGCAGACTCGGCATTTCCCTCTGATGATTAGGGGGAAAGCAGCGACACCTCCCCCCTAATCAAACTTCAACCTTGATTTTCTCCGCGAATAAGGAACTCCCGAAGTGTGAAGCAGGCGGCATTTGCAGTTCTCAGAGTGCAGTTTGTCAATCCAAACCAAGAACGGAAAAGAATGATTACGGGCTCTGACGCACGTTACGTGAAGAGAAGCGTATACGGATGCGCGCAACACTGTCAGTCGTGAGTGATGTATTTGCCTTGGGGCGTCTGCTTTTGTACACACGAGTCGCATACGCTCCCTTCCTTTGTTTGACCAAGCGTTGTGATGAGGGCTGTAGACTCGCGTTAAAACAGACGAGTCGGCACAGCTGCTGCTGCTGCTGCTTCAGCACATAAAGTGGTTCTAAGAGAAAAAAGGAAGAGAAAAGTGAGCCCCGTAACTGTCTGCTTCAGGGAGCGACACCTCAACCGTAGCTCACAAGGGATGGGGGTGAGTAGGGATTAAAAGGATAGGAATAAAGGTGTAGAGACAGAGAACGAGGCGTGAGGTGGTAAGCTAGAGAGCGCGACGACATATTGAGGGGATAGGAGAGACAGGAAAGATGGGAAAATGGTCACAGGAGTCCGAGGACGGGGCACCACTTGCGAGAGCTCTTGTCGGCGTCAGGAGATGGCGTAGAGCAAGTCCAGTCGGTCATAGCTACACTGTCGTCGGAGGTCGGCGTCAGGAGATGACGTAGGGCGAGCCCAGTCGGCAAGAGCTACGCTGACGTCGGAGATCGCGAGGGCACAACCGGTCGGCATGGAATCCAGCGAGTGAGCGACTTTTCCTCCTAATTAAGAAAAGAGGTATACCACGATGGAGCCCACCGTACAGGAGTCTCTGAAAGCAGACGAAAGAAAGATAAAACGTAACGGAGAGATCTGAAGAGACAATGGAAACTCGGCCCGTGCGTAGCACGCGATATACAATGTCGCTCGAACGAGGAACGCAGCGATTCATTCAGGAAGACGATAAGCCGACTCGCGCGAGGGCGACTGAAGTCGGGTTGGCGAAATGAGCCTAATCAGGGGGGTCTCAGTGGCTCTGAAGTCGAGGTCATCGTCGCGATATCGTTGTGCCCGAGCTTTTGTGGGTGGGCGTCGTTGTGTACGCAAGAAGTTAGGAAGATCCGTCCCCATTATAGGAGGTCAAGGCACGGACAACAATGTCGCGCGATCGCTTAGCCTACGCCGAGGCTGACTGGAAGGCGAAGGTCGTCTCCTCTTAGCAGCAGGGCTGTTTACTGGCCGACTGGAAAACAGTGATCTCGGTTGATACAGCGCAAACGGGACGAGAATATATATATATATATATATATATATATATATATATATATATATATATATATATATATATATAATATATATATATATATATATATATATATATATATATATATATATATATATATATATATATATATATGCAGGCATGGTGGTTGAGTGGCCGTAGCGTTGCATATAGTCCAGTAGATCCTCCGTGAGCGGTCACAACGTGGTTTTATTTCGACGTTTCGGCCTAGAGTCTGGCCTTCATCAGGGTGCTGAAGAAGGCCTGATGAAGGCAGTCTCTAGGCCGAAACGTCGAAGTCGAAATAAAACCACGTTGGGACCGCTCACGGAGGATCTACTGAACTAATATATATATTATATATATATATATATATATATATATATATATATATATATATATATATATATATATATATATATATATATATTATATATATATATATATAGTGACTGTTGCAGTTGGGACTTCCGAAAACAGTTTTCTTAAGCTAAGCATGCGACGATAGTTTTCTTTTTCGTTTTTTGGAGGAGTTCGAAGGTGGGGGTATGCGTTATGTGCGTGGGCGGGTTCTATGCGAGAAAATACGGTATAGAAGTGCGTCAATCTTTTAGCGTTACCGCAAGCAGTCCCGTACGTTTTAGAACGATGGTAATGTTCGCGGCGTTGTGTGCGTAATCGCATCGGAAGGTGCTACGATTATCTCCGTAGTTCCTATAGTCCATCAGTGCGGTTTGCGCAAGGCGACACTTACACGCCGGTGTAATGGGGTGATAAAACTTGGCAAAAGAGTGCGGCATGATTATCAGGTACACCGTAGCGGGAGTATCCGTTTTTACTTTACTCATGTGTAACGCGAGTTTTTTTAGGTTATTTTTTTAACTAACGGCAACCTCCGCGTTACAATCCAATACCGATATGACTACTTCTTCTTCCCAAGACAATGAAAAGTCTCCCCTCACCTTTCAATCACGGTAGCGTTACAATCGAGTAAACGCGGTATTGATCTCCTTGGGCTCTTCAATATTGTACCTGATTTCAAGTACACGGGTGGTTTTCGCACTTCGCCCACATCGAAAAGAAAAGTTGCCAGGATACTAACCAGCGCCCTCCAGCGTAGCGGCGCGATACGCAAACGGGACACGCGTGACGAGAAATCGACGTCATAAACTCGCATGCTGTCGTTACTAGGGCCCGTATGTGCTTTGTCCAAGTTACTTGTCACTAGAAGTGCTCGGAAGAGAAACAAGGCTGTCACTCAGTGCTCTTGAGACTCATTAAATAAATAAAATACATAAATATACAGACAGATAATCTATCTATCTATCTATCTATCTATCTATCTATCTATCTATCTATCTATCTATCTATCTATCTATCTATCTATCTATCTATCTATCTATCTATCTATCTATTCAGACAGACAGACAGACAGACAGACAGACAGACAGACAGACAGACAGACAGACAGACAGACAGACAGACAGACAGACAGA